GAGTTGAAGATCCCAAAATATACTATTTTTTTCAGTTGTGATTGGTTTCATTATTTGAAAGGCATTATTTCAGTTGCGGCAAATTCAAAATTAAAATATTTTTGAGCCTTCACATTTTAATTACAGCATCCGGAATGAATATCTTCATGCAGTCTTAACACTCTTGAATGCCTTGGGCACCTTTGACAGCTTTCTTCATTCGCCATCAAACTTTTTTCTTCTGTACTGGAAGACCTTCGCATTGGATTCACGATGTCCATGTTATATTAGTTTTTGCTAGATTAACTTGTGGTTGTCAGGGGCGAGATGAAGTCGTTCATTCAGAGATCCCCTCAATACCTTTCAACCACCATATATGTTACAAGCGTAATTCACAAGATCTTGAACGTGCAAACCTGTAGTTATATAAACTTGTGATACTACTTCTTCAATGGCTCTGTAGTTCAACATGAATCTTGGCAGCTTGAACCTTGAAACTTTAGAATCTATTTCCTCCATCCTCACCTGTCTTCATCTGCTCTTCTACATATCCGTGCTCCGATAATTCTCTTTTCCCCCTCGCCACAGCATCTTCCCATCTATTTTTGGTTTTCCTGTTGGTCTACTGCCATACAGTTTACCATTTAACGCTTCCTTTGGCAGTCTGTCATCTTCCATCCTCACCATTGTCCTACTCGCCATAATCCCTGCAATCTTACATTGTCTGCCACAGGTGACTCCTTAAACAGTTGACATGTTTCTTTGTTATGTCTTGTTCTCCATATGCCGTTTTCTTGTATGGGGCCTAGAATTTGTCTTAAGACTTTCTTTTCAAAGATGTTAATTTTATTCTTCATATTTTCATTTGGCACCAATGTTTCACAAGAATAACACATTACAAGTCAAATAATAGATTTATATATTCTTAACTTTACTTCCCAGTGTAGAGTTCTTGACCGGAAGATATGTAACAGGGTGAGATATGCTTGATTGGCCAGAGATCTCCTTAATATCTCCTCGTCTTCATTCCAATTGTTTTACATCAGCACTCCTAAATATGTGAATTTCTCCACTGTTTCTATGGCCTCTTCTGTGATGACCTTTGGGGTTATAAATTTGTAATACTGAGGTGAATATATTTCCTTGAATTTGTTATGTCCATCAGGATCAGTGACTTTGCTATATCCAAAGTTGACACTACAAGTTTTTACCAATTTTCTATAGTAACAAAGTCATTCGAATTCTCAACTAAGTACACTACAAATTACTATAATTAATAAATAAAAATAAATTTCAGAATAAATATAATTTTTTATAATAAAACTTTAAGATTGCTGGCCTCTAAAACTATTCTCCTTCCCATCCTCCACCCTCACCCATGTCCCTAGAAAACCATGATTGTGCCACTGATTACTATAGATGATTATGAAGGTGATTATTCATGGAAATGGATGTTGTAGTAGGTATTATTACAAAGTTAAGTTTGTTAGAATTTGTTTATTATCTAGAGACATCCGGAGCATCATCATAAAAGAAATGGGATCGATATTTATTTTATTTGAATGCTGATTGATTTGGGACACTTATATTTCAACTTCAATTTATTAAAATGTTGCTAAGTTGTGCCTAAGATATAATTAGAAATTACTTAAGCTATATTTTAATTTTTTGGATTTGGAAATTAACTGTACATCTTAATGACTTGCTTAATTTTACTTAATGAAATGCTTTTATTTATACTTTTTTCTAAATATAAAAAAAAATGGAAAAAAAAATACTTTTCAAAATATTTTCTGCTGTATACATAAGCAAATACAAGAAATATTTGTGTTGCAAGGGTAGAGCTATGATAACCTTTTATATAATTTTTTACTTCTAGTAAATATTTTTAACTACTTTTTCCTTGGTCAAGATAAATTGTCTAGACAATCTGATGTTATCGATAAATCACTAATGAAATTGTTCAGAACTATTTTTATATTATTCTTGCTTTTAGTTGACCCTTAACTGCAATTCAAAGGAAATAAACTTTTCAGGAACATTCAGTAATAAGAATTGCCAGTAATTTAGAAAATAATTTGTATAGGGAGGCTACTCCATAAATTAATTTAGTGAATTCACATTTAAATATGAAAAATGTTAATTACCAAGATACTTGAATTACAAGGCCTGGTTTAACCCATATATTTAACACAAAATCTTACTACTTATTGTCATCATGCTACTTATCATTATCTTTATTACCATCAACACTATCACCACCTTGATTTGAATCATCACCATCCCTGGCAGCATCATTTCCTCCTCTGCTATAAGTAACAAATACCTATTATAACGTCAATGATTATCACCATCTATCATGAAAGTAAAGTTGGTTTCATTTCATCTCCAGTCTTATGAATCGGTTCTTGGTAACTGAAGCTCGTTATAGCTTCAGAAAACATTGATGTTTTTGACATGCTTTCATAAGTAGCCTCTCTGTATGTAATGTATTGACAGGGATTTTCATTGTTGTTGTTGTCAGTCCTGGAAAATGAATCCACCCCCTGACAGAACTGCGCCGGAAGCAGAGATGTGGGTATGTTGGAGGCAGACACTGAAGCTCTTTTCTGGGCACTACAGGCAATCACTGTCTCTCGCACTGTATCTCCACATATCTTTTTGTGTTACTAATCCCATGAACAGACATCAGACAGACAGAATTACTGCAATTGTTTACAAAAGTAATATTTGTTTTCTCACTCTTTTGAGAATGTTTCCATGTTATCTCAACAGAAAAAAGTTAACTACTCTAAAATTTCAATACTTGTACGTGAAAAAAATTTTAAATAATTGTTCTTTAACAATAAGAAAATCATATATTTTTTACACATTTCTCTTTAGAAACATCAAAATCACAAATTTTGTGATTGATGAATTGATAGGTTCCCAAAAGCATCTCGGGTCCCATTTTAGATTGTACTGTTGAGTGGAAACAAATGTGTGAAAAAGGATTGTTTTGGATGCTATAGTCACAAGTTTAGAATCGCCTGGAAGTATTATCAATCATTTCTAATTTTTTATTTTTGATGGTAAATATCCAATATCTGTCTGGTGACAGTTTTGACATTTTTCTCTTTCAGTCATAACATTCCAAGAGTGTATAATTGTGTTTTGGATTCTGTTGGTGTTCTTGATGTTTATTGTTTGGTGAGTGTCCAACAATGTCATTGTTCTCTAGTTTACTTACTTAGTAGTTCACTCTGGAATCTGATATGTCAGATGGCAATATTTCAGGGATCATATTTAAAGTATTTAATGTTGTATCTTCTTGACACTTTTTTTAAGCCAAAGTAGTTGTACTTAAAATATTGTATAGCCAATGATTTTAATAAATTATTAATGAACAATGACATTGTTAATTTTCAAGGCTTCAGCAATATTTACCAACACCTCTCACTTCTAACCTCCATTGTGGTGCTGGCAACTGAATTTTATACTTTTTTGTCTCTTTAGTTTATGAGCAAGAATTTGTACATTTGTTAGATGTGTATATTTTTGAATATTTGTTGTTTTTTCCTTGATTTCATTTGCAATTTTTGTGTGCTTCTGAAGATGCAGATTTTTTGACCTTGTATTGCCTTAAGAGAAATTAAAACACAGTTTTTGGTATAGAATATATAGGAAGATTTAATTTGTGAATGGCTTTGTATTATATTATTACTTGAACAAATTTGCATTCGGCTTCGTATGAACTCAGGTCATATACTATGATTGCCCATTATGATTCGTGAAAACATATTAATCTGTATTTACATTAATTTGGTGAATTGAAAGTTGTATTCTCAATACCAGTTTCAGGTCATTTTGAAACACAAAGTTAAAAATTAATCTTATTTTCACTTATATATTAATGAACATTTTCTTAAATAATGTTCGTATTATAGTATTCCTAAAAATCATTCCTTAATTCTTCATTTTGTGAATATTAAACTTTGTGACAGTGCTTTGTCTTCTCTTCTGGATTGTTTCTCTTTCAGGGAGTGATGTGGTGTGTCTGCCTCTCTTTATGTTTTGGCTTTTTTAATGATTTTGCCATTCTTTGTTGGCACTTTTGGTGTTGCCTTGATCTGTTTCCTTTTCTTGCTTGACTTTTGGTGTTTACATGTTTGTATATGTTCTGACATGCTAAACACATCAAGATTAGGATTGTTCCGGTAATTGTTTTGCTATATCCTTTGCACTACCTTTTTGTTCATGATATTTGCATGGACATCTTTTTCCCTAGTATAGTTCTTATCTGTGTAATTTTGAATGTTAAATGGTGCTTTGTATTTGGAGATTGATGACTGTTATTCAGAAACTTGTTTGTAATGATTTGTATATAAAAAATTGCCTGGCTAATTTTATGTATTTGTAAATGTTGCATTCAACTTTCATATTTTAAATATCACTTTCATGAAGAAAAAAAAAAATATTGCCTCTAATTTCAAAAGAGATTGTTTTCTGGATGAAACATTTACACTAATTTTACAGTAACTCAAGAGGGTACATTTGTCAATAAATGTATAAATTAATTTTTGCAATTTTTCAGTACTTCTTTAATGTATTTCCTCTTAGATGGATGTATTTAATAGTAGGATAAGACAATTGAAAATTAAAGGAATTTTTAATGCTATCACTTTTTTCTACATTATCTTACTGTTGTTTAATAGTGCTTTTACAGATATGCATGTCATATTATCAAATTGAGCATGTCTGGTCTTTCATAAAAAAAAAGTAGTCTTTGCTTTGAATCTTGCACATTGAAATTAAATATTTCATTGTATACAAAAAATCTATTGCTTTACTACTATTGTGAGTATTTTCATTCACTTTGTTTCTAAAATAATATTGAATAAAGCTTATTTGGATGCATACGTGTGGTTGCAGCTCCTGTTTAAATTGTGTTTTTCTGAGCCAGTAAATGTTTTATCGTGTAGGACTTATTATTTTTTAATTTCAAAATATTAAGTTTCTTATAATACACTCTTTGTTCACAGCCACATATCCGCATCTGGAACTCCGTGAGCTTAAACACTGTGTCAGTGATTGGTATTGGAGAATTTGAACGATCCATTTGTTGCCTTACTTTCTCCAAAGCGGTAAGAATCTTCATTTTCTGTAGAACCAGATTGGTCATTTTACAGTTCTATCAAATGCCAGAGAAAAATTGTTATAATAAATATATTAATCAATAGTCAAGGGAAAAAAATACTTAAATAAAATATCATTTTGTAGAGGAAAGAGTCAAACACTCAATCACGCTTTTGTCGGAAATGGAGACACTTTGCATATGACTAAATATGAACTCGTGTGCGACCTTCAGAGTTGTAGCTGGGTATTTCTCAATCTGAACAGCAATGGCCTTGTTTGAGACATAGTAGATACATTCTCACATAAATAATCTTTTAGTAATTTAAGCAGCAAGGCATTGACACTGAAACTGTATTCTTCATTGACATGGTTTCAAAAAATTAAACTATCTGTTAAAGAAAATGCTACATTTTATTAAGTGGTGTTTTCTTATGCTTCTAGTATTAAAGTGTAATACTTCAGTTCATTGCCATTATCAGATCATCATCAGTGCAAGTATTTGTTTAATACTTCAGTTCAGTGTCATCATCATAGTACTAAAAATATTTATAGTAAATAATGTCTAAAAGTTGTTTAATAATCATGTTAACGACAATAATCATAGTGAATATGATGATGAAAAATCGAAAGATGTGCTTCTTAGTTTTCAAACCTTTCTTAGCCTTGAGAATTTGTAACTTCTATATCTCTTATTTTATAATATTTTTTTCTTGATTCATTTGTATTTACATAAGTAATTATTGTTCAGTGGATTTAGTTTGACTAATCAAGATGAACTTTTTAGGATGGTGGAGTGTTACTTTGCGCAGTGGATGAAGCTCCCGATCACAATATTTCTGTTTGGGACTGGCAGAAGGGAGACCGTGGTCTTAAGATAACAGAGACAAAGGTATCCACAAATTCTTGTATCTTTCTAATACTTTTATTTAATTGTTAACATACAAGAGTATTTCAGAATTGTAGTGAACCATTGTGTATTAGTAAGTGGTATAAAGTGCTTAAAACATCTTATGTTACAATTTAATTATTATTAATCAAACATCCAAAAATGAAAGAAAATCTGTATGTAACACTTGGAGGAGGGAAAAAATGGTACAGTGAGTGTTTCAGTTTGTGACTGTTTGAGTGTTCATTTTGCTAAAAAAAAAATGACCTTCCCCATAAGTAATAACTTTATGCTTCTTTATTAATAGTGCTCAGCAGACACTGTGGTGGCAGCAGAATTCCATCCTATGGATCGCCAGTCAATTATCACTTGTGGGAAGTCGCACATTAATTTCTGGACTTTGGATGCCGGTGGGACTCTGTACAAACGAATGGGGATCTTTGAAAATCGAGACAAGCCCAAATATGTGACCTGCTTGGCATTTACACAGACTGGAGATGTCATTTCTGGAGATTCCAATGGCAATGTAATCATCTGGGGCAGAGGTATAGTTTTCTATAGTTAAATTTATTACCTTTTGGGGTAGTGAAATAAATTGTAGTATGTGAAGTGCTCTATGTCCAGAATTTTGCTTGAAATGACTATCAAGGGAAATAGAAATTTGTTTACTATAAGCAATCAGGTTTCATTTTACCGTTGAAATTGATGATTAATTATTTGCACAACTCAGACAAATTTCTAATTTTTTTTTTTTTTTTTTTTTTTTAACAATAATTTCAGGTACCAACACAATATCAAGATTTATTCGCAATGTGCATGAAGGTTCTGTGTTTTCTATATGTGTTCTGAAAGAAGGCAGCATAGTAACCGGAGGAGGAAAAGACGGGCGACTTGTTCAATTCGACTCGCAGTTCAATGCAACTGGTCTTGAGACTCAAGTAAGTAACAAATAACCTTCCAATTTGCTGTTAACCAACCCCAGATGCAGAGGTCATTGAGATGGGAACACCATACCTTTCTCCACTAAGTCACTAATTCAAACCCCATCTCCAGAAAATATGTAACTTGAAAGAAGCTGTCAGTAGAATTCCTGAACTCTACCAAATATGAAAAATGGTGAGAGTTTGAATGCGTTTCTCTTTCCCGAACAATAAAATTTTTAATCCATTTTTATTTTATTTATTTTGTTTGATTTAATTTGTTATATATGACAGAAATAGAACTGTTTTTCCTTGTATCATTAGCTTTGTTACATTACTATTGCATAGTAATAGCACTAAAATGTAAATCAACTATTTGCAATATTTCTTAGTAACATATGGAGCAGTAATTGTTTATTGTTGTTTTGTTGTGTCTTTAAAATGTAGCAAAATGTATCAATGCTTTATATGATTTTGGTAATATTTTTTTCCTCCATTTTATTTTAATTTTTTCAATGTGCTTGCTTTGCTCAGTTGGTGGAGCATGTAGGAGCCGTGCGTGTAGTGGCGGAGGGTCGCGGCTCGCAGCTGTTGGTAGGCACCACTCGCAACTGCATTCTGCTGGGCACGCTCGAACTGGGCTTCTCCCCTGCAGTGCTAGGCCACACGGACGAGCTCTGGGCAGCAGCTGCCCATCCGTCTCTGCCGCAGTTTCTCAGCGGAGGCCACGACCGCCTCTTGCAGCTGTGGGATGCGCAGAGTTGTTCGACTGTGTGGAGCAAGGACCTCGGGGTAAGTCTAACTGTCGGCATGTTTGATTTTTTTTAGCTTAAATCAGGACTTGATTTGTGTTGGAATGTGAGGGAATAGCTTTCCAGTTCCTCAGGAACGAAATAGGAGGAAAGCTAGGGCATTAAAACCTAAAATTTTGAGGCCAAATGCCTCCAAGAGACATTTCTCACACCGTAATCTACAGGATGAAATCTTTTTGAATATGCTAATAAGTTTTTGAGGGGGAGAAGGATGGAGGAGATGGAGAGAGAAAGGGAGATGAAGGGTAAAACAACATCTGCCAGGTTCCTCTAGTTTCTATTAAATTAATAATTAATTTGGGGCACTTTTTGGAACTTAAAATTTTATAAATCTAGCAATGGTTTTAATTATTGCCCTGACAAAATTGTGAAGTATGGGCAGATAACGGTAATCTGCAGCACCAGAATCCCCAACCCTCTCGCTGGCAATGCATGGTTTAATTGTGAATAAAGGTACAATGATCATGGTTGGCAGTATTTGAAACTAGAAAATTTTTCCTCCCAAGTTTCAGAAAATTTACTTGCATTCTCAAACAAACTTTAGATTTGGTTACTGTCAAAATAACAATCCATCCTTCCTTCTCATGCAATTAGCAAAAAGAGGACTCAGTAACATGTGCACTGAGTGAAGCTATATTTATGTCCAAAAACAAAGCAAGGGGGGGGGGTCTTTCTCTGCATTTCCTCTATGGATCAAGGGAAACTGGATAGAAAACAACATCAAAATAGGGGTTATTGACTTAGAAACAGAGGTACAATACTTCTAAAGGCATGTTTTCAAGTTTTGTCTTTTAGAATTACACAATACAAACATTAACTAATGCATTTATATTGTGGAAAAAAATCATTTTTAATGCTCAATATAGTATCTTATTGTAGAGAAATGGTTATGCAGCAGAAAAGTTTTACTAAATTAAAGACATTCAAAATTGTATATCAAAGTTTACTCATTAATGCCATTAAGCGGTGTGCAGTAAAATAACATTCCTCTATTATATATGGAATTCTTTTTGTGAAAAAGAATGCTGGGAAAATTTTCAACCTTGGGAAAAGGTAGAGAATTATATTGAAGTGTTTGAAAAAGTTACTAAATTTATAACAAAAATTATAGTAACAAAATTAACAATAGATAATAATTATGTTACTCAAGTTCTTAAATTAAGTATTTTTTTTATTAGTTTCACAATTTCAACAATCCATTTTTATTCACACTTACATATTACATGCTCTTTGAAATTTTACACATTTCTATTTTCCTATCAAGCGCAGCTAATTTCATGCTCTGCGAACTGAACAAATCTTGTTATAAGTATTACTTAAAATGATCGTATTATTTCTTAAGTTATTATGTAAGATATATGTTTAGTACTTTGTTTTTTGGCCGTGAATATCATGAAGTTGCAAGTATAACTTGGGGTCCATATTTGCAGAGATTTCCTTTCTCCTCCATAGTATGCCACAAACTGTTTTTAACTTTTTTACTTTAATTTTAAATAAATAAAAATAAATGATAAAATAATAAACCTTTTTTGTAAGAAAAAAATAAAAAATAAAAGACAAACAGATTGTGTGATTGTTGATATTACTGCCTTGGGTAAGGCAGCTCAAGACGAGAAAGAAATTTTACAGTAACATTTGTGTTGATTACAGGAACCTCTTCAGTCAGCTGCATTCTCTCTTGATGGTTCCATAATTGTGGTTGGTTGCACTTCTGGTCGATGGATGGTAGTGGATGCTGAGACAAGAGAAGTATATTCAGTACACACTGATGGAAATGAACCAATCCAGGTATGAAGGATTGAATAGGCAAATTGATAAAAGATTTAGAACAGAATTGTTGAAAATCATTATGTTCAAAATGATTATTTTGGTCTAACTGTATTTAAATTTCTAAATGATTATTCTAATTACAGGTTTGCTGCTAAATTGTGGTATTTGGGTTCATTGACAAATGCAAATGAGAAATTTTTAATTTTTTGTTTTTCTTAAATTAATTTCGATACATCAATTTCTCTTAATCACTGAGATATGTCATAATGAATTTGTTATGATTAGAGCAGATTAGGCATACAAAAAATAATCAATATTTACAATTTGTTTTGAGATCAGATTCAAAGTTAAATTTACAATAGTTTAAAATTGGGATGTGCAGTAATGAAGTTGGTGCAGCCTTAGGAGCCATTCAGAGGCAACATGCAAAGCCTTCTGAAGTGAATTTCTCCAAATTTTTAATTTTGAAACGATGATAAATGAATGATAATATATTTTCTATGAACTTTATTTTTTTCAATAGAGTTTAAAAACAATGTTTTTACTTCCTTAAATTGACTGAAAAAAAAACAGCACACAATTCTTTGATCCTAGAGAATTGAGAAACGCACTTCCTGTCTAAAAAAATTATAATTATTTTATGTAATACATGTGTATTTTTCATTTCTTTTTTTACAGCCTAACACTTGCAATTCTAATATATTCTGTAAATCTGATAATTTACAGGTTGTAAAATTTTCCCCTGATGGCAACTTCTTAGCATTAGGTTCAAGGGATAACAATATTTACATCTATCAGGTTACAGATGACGCAAGAAAATTTAATCGTGTAGGAAGATGCATGGTAAGTACAGATTCAGAACGTACAGTTGAATACACTTATATTTCAAACCCTTTCTTGCCCAATACATAATGATGATTCTATAGTGTGCCTGGAAAATCTCCACAGTGGCACTTTGCTGGTGAGAGTGCTAGCAACAGAAGTTGGGTTGGTAGCACAAGCTGTAGCTTGAAACAAAAGAAGACATAAATTAAGTACTCACCCCCATCATTATGGAAAAGCTGAAAATATTGTTTTCTTAACTTGCTTCCCTGTAATCTGGTTGCTACCAACATAAATGCAATTTTTATTAGGAGGCCCTGGTGCAGAGAGACTTTCCTGGGGCACTATATATCTATTTGAACGAGAAGTTTCCAATAATTAAGCATATTTCACTTACGGTTTATATATTTTATTATTTATAAATCTTAAGAATTTTATTTGTATTCTAAAGTGATTTTATTGCTACTGAAAAACTAATATTTTTCATTAAAATCAAGGTTTTCAAGTAACACAATACAGCTAATTATGTTGTATGATATTTAAATAAACAGGTATTATTGAATAAAACTTTATAACTGAATTGCATATTACACTTACGTAAACTTTCACCATTACTGCAAATATAAAATAAGAAGAGCAACTAACAATTTTACAGTAAGCTTTCATCAAATTACAAATACAATTAGAAATCCAAAAACCAGGATGTTTCGTTATATTCAAATATTTTATTCAAAATTTAATAATTAAACATTGAAAATAGCATTGTTGAGTTTATTAACTTGGACGATAACTTCAGAAAATGTCAAAGATTGCATATTTTTTAAATGTGGTCTTCTATTTCATTTCTAAAACAACCTCTAAGAAACACTTTAGTGCAAAAATTTGGCAAAGAAAGTTTTGTGTATACAATAGCATACTAGTGATGCTTCTATTCTCTGGCTTTCATGCTTCAGCCAAATCATCTATAGTATGAAAGATAGTCAAATGAATTTCAGTATCTGCCAGTCATGCTTTGCATTTTATTAAGAAAAAATAGAAAGTTCAGTTTGATTGAGTTGGGACTTCTCAGTTCTGAATCACTGAATTCATGGTGACAAAAATTTTGCATACAACTTTGCTAGCATACTTTTAAAATTGAGTTGCCTTAATGCAAAGTCATACTGCTTTCTTAAACATGACAATGCTAATTCAGTTTTCTTTACCAAGCTTGTAGAAATAAATGATATGTGTTCACTAAACTAGACATAGATGTTTTGCTCTAGAATATACACTGCAAACACACCAGCAGGACTGGTAAAATTACGCATGTTATTTCAAATAAATAATACATCAAAAATACAAAGTGCAAATTTATTGCAAGTTTTTAGAGGATTCTTGCCATCACATATGTAGAAATTTTCTTTGGTTCCTAATAATTAAAGCATGATCCAATATAATCTAGCACAGTGTGAACGTTTGTCCCCAAGCATAACCTCCACACATTTGATATTAGATGAATAGAAAGAGACTTCTTGCCAAATCAAAGAGTAACCAAGGTAATTGGTGAATGTTTGCTTCCATGGCCAGATTAAGCTTGTTTGTCGTAGGTCCTAGGTCTTTTGAAAAAGAAAAAAAAGAAGAAAAAAAAACTTAATTTAGTGGAATACAGATAATACAGTTCATTGAAAATTTACATTGCCTTATATGAATGAAAGATTTCACTGTTCTTTTATTTTTAATTTGTTTTGCACTAGTTTACAAACCTACGTTTGTAAAGTATACACTACTTTACAAACCTACATTTGTAATGTAATTTTGTTTATATTGTAATGTATAAATTATTGAAGTTACCATTTCATTATTCTTAAAAAAGTATGTTTGTATTTGATTTATTTCTTTTTAGTTGTGAAATAAACTAATAACATAATTTATCAGGAGACCCTATCATAGGCCCCTAATGTTCTTAGGCCCCAGGCACTGTGCCGAATGTGTCCTGTTTGCTTCCTTTAATGTGTTGAAAAGACTGACATGCTGCAGGTAGGGAGAACAGTGAATGCTTGGAGCTTGGCAAATAGCAAGCAACCGATCCACACTTCTTGAAAATCGGCCATCTGATGCTTGGTTCTCACCAAATACCAAATGTGTGGAGTGTACCTTTACAGGGAAATGTGCCTTTACACAAAATTGGGTGCTTTCAATTATTTCTAGATTGTTTTCTTTAGATCATGAAATTTTTTTTTTTTTTTAAATTTAATCTTGCTGTGAGGAAAACAAATGGTGGAAAAAATGAATTTTATTTCAAAAATATAACCTGTGGTGCTACAAATGGCACAGACTTTCTCGTACTAGTGATTTCCTTATTTGTTTAGTCAGGGCTAACTTTTTAGATTTGACTCACCCTTTTTCCAGCTGCTACCTACCAGTAACTGAAGGATATTTTTTTCCTATTTTCTTGATTTTTCAATTACCAAAATAATAGAATTGATTTATAACTTACATAATTTTATTGAAGAATAAAATCTGGTTCTCTCTGCAAAAGAGCTTTTTAAAAAACATCTAAATCAATTGAAACATTTGAATTACTTGTTCTTATATTTTCTATAATGAATAAAAAAGCAGATAATGTAAAAATTAACAACTTCGTAGATATTTCAAATGAAAAAAAAAAGTTATGTTCATTTGTGTAATTTCTCTCAAATCAAAAGCACATATGAAAATTGCTTTTACATCATATTATGCAGTGCATTTAACAATATCTGATCAAAGAATTTATAGAAGAAAAACTGGAGCAGTTTTTGAGAAATTCATATTTTTTAAATTGCCAGAAATATGTCCCAGGGCTGTGTAAAAATACCCCCAAAATACAAAGAATTCTTTTAAAAATTGCAAGGATTTCAGTTTAGTTACATTGATTAGGGAATTTTCATTTTGGCAAAAATCCTACAAATGGTTTAGGTTAGGTAGTGACAGACAGATGTTTTGGAAAAACACTGTTGTAGTATCATGGGACCCCAAAATGTGTATTCATCATTGAAATCTCAAAATCTGTTTTCTGCAGCATTACACAACTTCCTCTATTCTATGTTTATTACTCCAAATCTACAAGAATATGAGATAGTAAAAATGCATATATTCAGATAACTAAGAAACTAAGTAGAATTGTATATTTTGACCATTTGATTTCCAAACAGAATCATTTTCCAACACCACTTAATGGATTTAAACCTTCCAAATTTACAACACGCCATTACATCCCAATTAAAACATACTATTAAGACTTCTATTTCAAATAATTACATATATAAAGATTTTCTATCATTTTTTTCTGAAGTATATCTATTCATTTGTCTTCATTGCAAATATAAACCATAATTTATTAATGTTGGAGAGCATAGCTCATCAAATTTTCTCTTAACATTTCATTTACGCAAGCTATATATTTTTTTATTTATAATTTTATTTTTTAGCATGCCTTCAATAAAACAAATTAGTTTAAAAATTTTTTAAAAAAATATTGTATCAATAAGTTTTAAATGTAGAGTAGGAATTTCAAACTGTTTTTGTTAACCATTCTACACTGTTTGCTGAAGATTTAAAAAATGGAAAGAGTGTGATACATTTTGATTTCAAAAATTCTTATAAGAGTGCTTCAACAGACCCTACTTTCAGGTAGTTTAGAACATGTATTTTGTTATTCAGGTTCAAATCAATTGTTGAGTAGTGTTAAAATGATAAGTGTTTTTGTGTTCATGCTGCTCAACTAGCCGGAACGAAAACGCAGAAGGAGCGCTTCCTTGAGTTCCCTGTTGGTATGTGCCCCTACCTACCAGCAAGGCATGTCCTCATCCTCCTTTATTCTCCTATTTCCTTGTAGAGAGCAGACTGTATGCAAAAAATGTTCCCAAGGTCCTGATAAATTGGGCAGAATTGAAAGAAGTTTTATTTTGATAATTTTCTCAGAGGAAGTTGTGACTGTAATCGCAGATTTGTGTGATTGTTGTGCGAGTTTAAAAGAGTGAGAGATAAATATTGTCAATAAGGATTTTCTGTGAGTAACAACCTCTAAGGTTTAAGTACAGGCTAAGATAAGTAGTGCAGGAACTGAAACAAAAATAATTTTACAGTCCCTCCATTCAGTATTTTGAAGTTTCCAATAGTATTTGCTTATATTTTGAATTAGAAGTGGTCTTCCCTTCAAGTATGATTACATACTTCATTTTTGAACATGCCAAGTTATATAATATACAATTTTTTACTGATAATGAAGTATCCATATGTTAAGTGTTTGCTCACTTCAGAATTATTATCAAAGGCCTTAACAATGAGGCCTCGGAATAAATATAACAAGGTAAAATATTTTTTGCATTATTATAGAGAGCTTTAATTAAATTGTTTGTCATACATTCTGCTGTCAGTATATCAAATTATTCAGATGTCCTACTTTTTGCACTGCTCTTGGTAGAATGTTGAAGAACTAACTTTAGGTAGAGCTAGTAGCATTTACACTTCTATTAGCATGCAAGTTGATTACTATTTCAATGTAGTTTGCAAAATCCATTGCCAAAACCAAAAAATAAAGAAGGTGCGATACATTTTTTGTTGCATCTTTGATATGGATTTTCAGAACTTGTTGCATTACAAATTGTTTATTTTAAAAAATAGTATTGAGTAGTGGATATTTTCATTTTGCTTCATTCTAGTATATTTGCTCTTTATGAAATGTGTAAAGTATTACAAAAGAAACTGAATATATTATTAGTAGTAATTTGCCAAATTGAATATCGATAATTTATTAATGATATTACTTTTAGTTTCTAATTAAGAGTTTCTTCTAAAATTCAGCAGTTTTTGTTTTATATGGGAAGGGAGCTTAACTAGTTAGTGTTGTCATTTGTCACAGGTTTTGCATGGTATCTTATCTAGAAACTGTAATAAATATGGCAAAATGTAGTTTTTGCATCTAAAATATTCTTATGCATAAGATTCAAATAGTTCTAATTTTATTGCGTCTATTACTGAGAGTTTTATTAAGATATTGAATATTTAATCTTTTTTTTAAAAAATTTTTGCAATAAATAATGTCAATACCTATTTGATAAATAAACAAGGAAATAAGAATTAGGTATGTGAGAAAATTGGACAAACAATTCTCAGCATATAGGGGAAAAAGAAAATAGCATTTCGTGATTATAAAATTACTTGATACTCTTTAAATTTGCACCAGATTTATCTTCATCTTTTCTTTCTTTAGTATTTTGTCATTGGTACAACTTGGTTGAACTTCTAAAAAACATTTAATGTTTCACGCTTAAAAAGTATTATTGAATTTCTGATTTTGTTTTTAGGGTCACTCCAGCTTCATTACTCACCTTGATTGGTCCACTGATAGTCAATACATCCAGAGCAATTCTGGAGATTATGAATTACTTTATTGTGAGTAAACAAATAATCAATTTTACATTTATCGTAAGGAGTGAAATCTAATGATTTTCACCTAGTATTTTGCTTTTGTGATGGAAAAAAGTCATACTGCTTTCTTTATTCTTGTATTCTTGCATTTGTAAACAGTATTGTGCAGTGTAATACTTATTAATATTCAGGATAAATTTCAAAATAATGTGTGTTTATAATTGTATAGATCACCCTGTGTTGTGGAGATTCTTTGAACATTGATTAATTTCCACAAAAGTCAGATATTTACTGTAAACATGGGTGACATCAGACAAAAATACACTTTAATTGAACTTTTGCCAAAGTAATTAAATTATAGGTGATTTCATTTTAGTGCATATTAGACCATTAAGTAATGTATTCATATTTTGTTTCAAAAAGAAAATAATAAGAACATTAAATGTGACTAGTTCAGAAAACATTTTCAATATAAAAGTCTTTCGATCTTTTGATTTAAAATTTTTAATTATTTTTTAAATTAAAAATTATGTTTTTGTGGGCACTACTAACTTTGTTCTGAACAGTAGGAAAGACAATTTCAGATTGATTGCCAGAATAAATACACAAAAGTTCAACATCAATTTGGTGGTTTAATGTGTCCAACAATTTCCTTGTCAAGTTGATTCTTCCTTTTAACATAAGCATAGGAGACCTCTACTAATTAACTTCTTTGTAGAGAATATAGTACGGATTATGTAAAGCTCTAGTGCTTTATGATAAGATTGCTTATTTTAATCTTCTGAAATTTGTGGAAATTAATTGAATTTAGATATTGCTTAAGCTTCCTTTTAAACAAAAGTTACATTGTTCAAAGACTCTCCACACTTGGCAACTTTTTTATCTTAATGGATTGAGAACAAATGTAAAACTAGTTGCAAAAATCTGTGGTTTTCCTGCACTCTAATGCGTTATTTGATAATGCACTGTAATTAATTCTGGTAATTAACTCAGTAATTAATTCTGCTAATTAATTTTTTATATTTAGTTATTTAGTATTTCTAGATATGATGACCACAAACGGCAGTAACATGGATGATATTCTGAAGATACTATACTGTATTCTTTTAAAGAATACTGTAGTACCTCTGTAGGATGTTCTTTTGTACTGATACTATTTTGTATCTTGATGCAAAATAGTAAGAATACTTGAATAGCTACCAGAATCAAAAAGTTGTTGGTGTCAATTGATTTAAACATTTTATATTTCTATTCATATTTCCTGCATTTGTAAATACTTGTTCATTTGTTTGTAATGTTCACTTCTGAGTGGCATAGGCTGCATTACCAATATTACAAACATTATGGCCATTGTTTTGTGCCTCAGGACTGATTGTGAAAGATGTCAAGGGTTTGGTGAGGTATCAAAATGAAGGTAACACCAACCTACTGCACCACGTCCCTGAGACAGCTGACAGCATTTGAATGTCTCTGGTATCAGGAGCCTAAGACTGTATTGTTTTTTGTTTGTTGTTTTCTTTTTCTCACTTTCTTCTTTTCTTTTTTTCTCTTTTTTCTTTTTCATTCTTTTTTTTCCCTATTTTCTCGTCCTTATTTAATACTAATGTAACTTTGCAGGGAATGCTGGCCTCTGCCGACAGATTCCACAATCTTCCACACTCCGTGATGTGGAGTGGGCCAGCAATACATGTACTCTTACTTTCAACACAGTGGGCATATGGCCTGAAGGTGCAGATGGCACAGATGTAAATTTCTGTGACCGTTCTCATGACCAAAAGCTTATGGCAACTGCTGATGACTTTGGAAAAGTGAAATTGTACTCGTACCCTGTTACACAACCCAAGGTGAGTACCATGTCTGGCCTGTTTACAAGATGTATTTGGTTCTTCTCTGAAAGGTTCTATGACTCTCTCTCTTAAACCCTTTTCACTCTTTTGTTATTATTTTCAAAATCTACAGTTGGATTTAATTATTTTTAAATCATTGTTGAAAAATATTTTCTTTTATAAACTTCATCTTGGAGAACTGTATTTTGATAAATTCATTCACAATCATGTTATTTCATGTTCAAGTCCCAATCAAATAAGCATAAATGTATTGGATTAGGCTTTTTTAGGGAGAATACTTTTATAATTTTCATTGGAAACACAGAATTTTAAAATAAGATTTATGAATAAAGTGTTGTACTTTCCATTGCTCAAAGAAAGGAAAAATAGAAAAAAAAAAAAAAAAAAAAAAAAAAAAAAAAAAAAAAAAAAAAAAAAGGAAAAAAAAAAAAAGAAACTAGGAATTTTCTTGGACTAAACCTCAATAAAAAGTGAAATAATATTAGTGATGAGGTTGTTAAAATTAATTATGTGTTCTTTTGTTAAGTATTTTTAATATTTTGGCATTTCCCACTTACATAAAAAAAATATTTCTCTACAAGAGCTCTTCCCATCTACAGTTCTTTTCACTTTGCTTTTCCAGTCTGAGAAGTTAGATCCAAAATACTCTGAGATATTCATAAAATCATATTGCATTTTATTTCTATTTGTACTTTATGAAATAATGCTGTCATTAAATGTCACATTAATATTTAATATTTCTGGGATGTTACATTTGATGAAGTACTGCTAAACACACATAAGAGTTTTTCATTGTTCAGTATTTCTTGGTATCTTTTCTTTGCATTTCTCTGTTCAGCCAAGGGTAAGTTTTCTCATCCTACTGTAGCTGCTTGCACACAATCAGTGGAACAACCTGGACATAATCTGATCACTAACTCATAAAAGAATATCTGCATCTTGAAATTATCTTCTATTCTTTTTGCTTGCCATTTTGATTTTGAATCATATTTGAAGACTGGAATTTTCAAAAGTACTATTTGCCATGAATTAAGAAAAATATTATTTGGATAAACATTTTCTAGGATTGAAGTTAAATGTGAAAATTGTTATTAATGTCATATTTGCATAACTAAGACATTGAAGGAAGTGTTTACAACAACAACTTGGCTATTTCTATAAACATTGCTTCATATACTTAATTACATTATGTTTTCTTAATAAATAGCAGGTAGTATCTTTGGTGCTTAATGCTGAAAATTCTAGTACAAATTTAGTTACAGTGAAAAGAAGCCTGCATTTGTTATGAACTTACTGATTTCAACTGCCATTTTAAAGAAGTAATTGCCTTTTTCAAATCACATGTGTTATTATATGAATTTTATTTAATTAGTACCATAAATCTGAAATGGATTGGATCCCATGGGAAGGTTATAAATGCAATTCTATCTGTTATTGGATAAGCACAAACTCAACAAAGAAGACATAGATATAGCTGCATGTTTCTTTATAATACTTGCATTCACTCCCCCCTCTCCCTCCCCAAGGGGCGGATCCAGCTGATCATTTTGAAGGGGACCATCATAGATTTTTATTAAATAATAAACATTTGTTACAATATTGAATATTATTTTTATTGTGTCTATACAATACTGTACAATATAATTTTTTAAATAATTACATAATTTTTAACATAAATAAATATTTAAATCAATTTTTCTAAATATAAGAAGGCAACAAACAAAAACTTTAGGCCTTTGGGAGGCAGGGGGCATGGCTCCCCTCTGAATTTGCCCTCCTCTCCCCTTCTTTTCTCCAACCATCTTTCAATTTTTGCAGAGTACTCTTTTGAAAGACTCGCACAATGTATAATACTGAAATATTGCTTGCATATCCAACAAATATGTGGATAAAAATCATTCTACACAGTTGTTGCTTGCATTTTTCATAATAAATATGCAGGGATAGTAATTATCAGAAGGAGTTTTTAATTCTCTTTTATTAACTTTTAACTTCAATAATAAACTCTTCAATATATATATAACATGTCAAGTGTACTTTTACATTACAATGCTCATGTGTGCTCTCAAGTAATAACTAATTAGAGAAATGTTACTCATTTTTCAAATTGTTTCTGTTATTAGGCATGAATATAATTAGCCTTCTTGTACCACAATCTGCATGAATATATGTAGAAATATTTGCTAAATGGATGTTAGAATGATTCAACAGTCACTTACCATTGGCGATCAATCTTTCCCCTACCATTAATTCCCATAACATGAAGTTCATAAATTTTATCCTGAGAGATACGCTATGTGGTTGCCTCCTGTGTCCTGGGTAATATAGAAAACATTGTAAAACAAAAACTATCATACACATCAATTTGAAATTGATAACATCTTGAAGTATTATTTTCCTTCTTAAGTCTGAATATAGTTTATTATAAAGTTCAGAAATAGTATCATTTGCTTATATATTTATTTTCTTTATTTTTCAAAATATACTATGGTCAAAAATGATGAAAAATAGCCTAGTTCAGTTGAGTTTTCATTTACAGGAAATTTTATTTTTTGGTTTTTTTCACAGAGGTAATTCAGATTGTTTGTCAATTTCACAATTCTAAAGAAAATTAACTCTTGAAATTAAGAATATTCACCAACAGAATCATTTGCATCATTATCATTCTTGATAAAATTTTCATTATTCAGAAACTGTTGAATTACTAATGTTGAGAGTCATTATGAACTTGACATTTGTTGGTCTTCTAAACATCTGTTTATATCATTAACTAATAGCTTCCTGAAAAAAATTGCAAATACTTGCAAACAATAGAAGCACTTATTGGCGTTTGTTCTGTAACCAATCAATGAAATTAAAAAGTGTATTCTAGGTGCCAACAAATGTTCAAGAGACTTTTATAGCTTGGTTAAGACGACTTGTGACAAACATCCATAGGACATACGAGTAAAATGAAGATGATGTATTAAATAGGTTAAGGATATTACACAACGAGGGCTTTCATGGTTAACACACACTCCTGACAGATTGTTATAATATTTTTTTATGTTCTTTGTTTACTATGCCTGTTAATAATGTAGTGACAAAGCTTGTACTGTTTGTTTTGATGTAGTTTATTCATTTTTACACATCACACCTTTCTTTCCTTTGCATAGTTCATTTGTTAAGTTTACATATTTACATTAATTAAGCAGAACAAAAAGGTAATATTATTTACTATTTGAGGTATAGAGCACAGTACGGTATATGTGGTACACTTATAATAATATAGACTAGTATAAAAATATATATAAAAGATTTTCATAGACACTTATAACAATTCAGCCCAAAAATATATCACACAATTGTCACAGCATTGACTCATTTTATATACCACGTGTTACTGATAACAATTCTTGTACACAGCTTAGAAATTGAAATTTCCTCAGAACAATAGAAGCAGTTACAGACCAGCACATTTTTAATTGAGTTTTTAAATCTTTCATTCTTCAAATTCTGAATATCAAAAGGCAGTTTCTTGAATAACTTTATTGGTGAGTGTTTGAAGCTAGGCAGAGTTTTGGTGTATCTTCAATGAGTATCATAACATCATTACAGTGTAATCATTATGTTTATTTGTATTTTAGTTGAAAGTTGGCTGTTTTTTTCTCAGAGCTGGCCAGATAGTCTTCAAATACTATATTTTCCACTGTAACTAACAACTTATTTTTATTCCAGTCTCTCTGTCATGCCTACGGGGGGCATAGCAGTCATGTGACAAGTGTCATCTTCCTGCATGATGATTCCAGACTTATCTCCAGTGGAGGGAGAGACACTAGCATCATGCAATGGATGTTGGTATGAGTTACAATATTATTGTTAATATCTGTAAACTCAAAGAATCTGAAGATGCTAGTTTTAACCTCATTTTCAGAAATTGGCTTCTTTTGTGATGTAATAGTGAGTTTGTTTAATATCATTGTGAATTTTGGAATATATCTTAGAGATTTAGTACCTCAGCGATTCATGTATAGCTTCACATATTAAGATTATACATTGTTACTAAATGTTACTGGACATGTATTTACCACTTGCTGCAGGTTATTATAATATTCATTGTATTTTTTGTGACCATGACATTGCTCTTGTCTTCACAACCAATTCTTAAAACCTTATAAAAATCCACGCCCTTAAGAAGGCCTTCAGATACATGTGTGTTTGCATTTTACTAGTTACAAATGCCATAGACAAATTATGCCAAAAAAAGAATTACTTTGGTAAATGATCACTGGCTCAATATGAATCCTGAAATGAAAGTGCAAAGAAGTGTATATGAATAATAGTATAAGAAGTCAATCATGAACATGACAAATAAAATACTGTACCATGTGGATTATTTGCTTGTCGTGAAAAATCCATAATTACACTCTGAAACTAGTCATACTAGGTATCTATCGAACAAAAGAAGCATTTATCTGGAAATTTGGATAGAGCTTGATTTGTAGAAAGAGTATGAAGAGCAGAGAAGAGTATTTTAAGATAAATGTAATTTATTCTTGTATACTGCATCCTTATAATGAATTGCCTGTTGAAAAAATGTAGAGATTACAATTGCTTATTGCTCCAAGAAAATAAAAGGGAATTGTTGAGTATGAATGTTTCAATTCATAGACAAAAATGAAATCATCAAGAAATGATGCAAAAAGGAGAAAAAAAAGTTGAATATGGAGTGAATATTACTTGTGTTTAATCTCGTCATCTCAGTTTTTCTTACTTAAATAGAAATACAATTTCAAAGAAAATTTGCTAGTACATTATGAAATCATAGTTGTATAAGTATATTATTTTTGTAAGTGTTTTCACAACTGTAAATGAATCTTTGTAATTCTGAATGAAAGATGTGTGTGTAAAGCAAAGTCAAATGAACATGTGTACTGTAATAGATATAAACCTAAGTAAATTTGCTTCTGTAATTCAGAATGCATTTTTTACTATGTGTAAAGTGATAGATGCTTATACTAAGTGTATGCAGTGTCTACTTGTACCAATAGTTTCGCTTTCATTATGAAAGATTTGTAAAAATTAAATTTAACTATAATCTGTATTTTAATTTATACACTAAAGAATCTCTTTATAATATATATATTCTTTGGCATAACTTTATATGTACACAAACTGCATGCCAATAAATTTATATTTTATTGAAAATAGGCCTGAAAATGTATGCCTTTGAGAGTCAAACTGAAAGTTTTGTAATCGTCTTTGCATGAATACGGTGAAGCAGCTGAAGTAATACAATCATATTTTGTCTATATTTAGAATTATATATGTATAAACATGGTTTTATTTAAGATTATCTTAATTAGTATCTTAACTCTGCTTCAGTTAATTATCATTTGGAAATCTTCAACTATCTCTTGGAATTATTTTGTATGTTTAAGCATTAGCATTTCAAGAATGAAGTGAAAGGCAGGGTTCTGTCATTAGATAAATTAGTAGTAATAAGAAGATACAGTACTTTTCAGCTGCTACACTTTCCTTTTGTAATGTATTTTTCACAAAGCTAACTTATTAATTCTGTATACACATATTGCCTTCGCTTCCATCCATAGTATGTGATAATACATTTAATAACCTATAAATAATGGTGAATGAAAATGTACTTTTCTGTAAATATATACTGAAGAGATCACTTTTAATGCCGTGCAGTGTAGCCCACAAAGGATTTTTATCATAATTCTCTTGTGGTTTTTGTCAATTCATCATGTTAATATTGAATTGTGCAAAACTGAAAATAGAAAATCAGCTGTGAAACAAGTTATTGAAGTTTTTAAAGACTAGTTCCAATTTGCCAAATATTTGCATGTCCATTGTTGAAGCAGATGTCACTGTAAAATGGTCTTGTGTTTTTAAATTGTTCGTTACATTTCATATGATCTTTCAAAAAATACTTTACGACTACAATAATCTTTCAGAGCACAGAAACCGCCTGTTATTTTTGTCACTCATAATGAATGGTGTAAAAACATTTATTTATGCAGACTTACTTGGTCTTTTGTGCCAAGTAAAAATGTTTGTTTAAGAAATGTACTGGTACTCAAATGATATCTTTTATTTATTTTCTCATTTTGAAGACCTACCCTTTCATCTTTTCTTGAAGGGTTTTTGTTGGTTTTTTCCCCCTCCCTATTTCATACTGAAATAATTAAGGCAACTAAATTAATTTACTTCAGGGAGATTTCCACTTTCTTAAGTTACTTTATAATCATAGGCCCTATAGACAAGTGCATTGCTATAAGAAAGTTTAATTCATAATATGTTGTTGTCATCTTTATATTTAAATATTTCATTTTCAGATTCACATTTAAACATAGATAATTCTATAAAAAATTCAGTAGAATCCCAGTTTTCTGAACTAATCTGGGATGAGGTCTGATCAGATTTGAAAGTGTTCATATTATCTGAAAAATGTAGCATACATATATAAACACCTCTATAGGATTACCAAAATCAATGTAACATAATGTAGCAATCACATCATCACATCGCATCATCAAGCAGATCCTTAGATTGCAAAAGATTACAGATTTTGCAAGTTCGTCTAAGTGAAAATTACTTCTACATAAATAGGAGATATACACCGTAGTTACCAGTGCAATAAAAGATTCGTTTTGGCAACTTGTTTCAGTAATTAGTTGTTCAGTTCCATAGTAATTATAAAATTATTTCTTTACACTACATATAAGCATCTTATTTATTTTGTTTATTTTTCCTCCACCTCGAATTTGGTTCGAATTATCCGAAATTTCAGTGTTACGGGATTTGGATTAGCAGGGTTCTACTGTATGTTAAAAAAACTCTTCTAAAATTGTTCTATTTAAAATTTGAAATAACTCTCTCAAGTTGTTAAGTAATATATCACTATTTAAAACTGTGAACTTGAAATTTTGTTCTATAACATTTTGCTTCTTTTACTTTCTCTGTTTTAATAAAATATTGTATAATAAAAATTTTGGGTTGATGAAAATTGATATGTCACATGTTTTTGTGATCAAAGAAAGGAGGAGATTAAATTTACATCATGTCAATTTCTCTTCTCATTCATGAAGAGCTTGTTAAGAAGCTTCTAAGTTTTATTTAAAAAATTTAAATTATTTCAGAACATTATTAAAAAGTAGATATATGTGTCTGCCTGTATACTCCACAAAAATCTTTGATTCATTGGGGTGATTGTTCCTAAATTTTGCATGAATAATTTTGAGTCTCTAGAAGTGAGTGATTGTCCGATATTTTCATTTTGATGAGCACACAGTAGATACACCCTATTGCATGCCCCCAATCTCATGCTCATTTAATTTTTCATATAAATTAAAAAGAAGATAAAATGATATAGGATTGGTTTCTAGTGTGACAGATTAGAATTTTGAGACTGGCAATACTCTAATTCAGTTAAATAGAAATAACGATAGCTCAGCAGTTCACACATTTATTTTTCTCAAAAAATGTACGCATAAAATGCAATACTCAAATGCTTTTAGACAATACTAAAATGTTCAGATAAATCTGTGAATACAACAAAGAAAACAGAATACTATCATCTGACTGCATCACCTATTACTGACCTCAATGTAACAGTAAGTTATTTATATTCTTGAATTAAAATAAAATGCAAACCATTTAGGCAGTCTAAAACATAGCATATGACATGTGGTATAACATATTATTTTGCTTATAGGACTGTGCCTTCCAGCCTATTGGCCTTATGATGCAACCTCTAAAAATAAAATAATACTTTTACCAGTCGTATCATAAATAATTAATATTTTCAATCAAATGAATACAAGAAGGCATTTATTCTGGCTAAAATAAGGGTGCAAAGAGGCATGAAAAATATGACCAATTGAACATTAGGGAAAATATATTCACTCAAAATGATGTCAAAAAGTATCGAAAGTCATATTTAGCAAGGTGCGCGTTTCCACACGGCAGAAGAAATTTTGTTATCATCTGAAAGAAATGCAAGCATCTTAATTGTTATTATACTTTTTTCTTCACTTTCTGACAGCTGCAAAATCAGAGTCCAACCCTACCTGAAATCATGTCTCTACATGCACAGAAAAGCTAAATGCAACAGTGCCTAAATGTAATTCAGTGTTGCAGATAGGCAAACTTGATTGAGATTGGCACTGGAGGAATAAGGCAAAATACATACTTCAAATATGCATGGGGATAAAATAGAAAAGATAAAATGAAAATCTCCCAAAAGAATTTCAGAAGCACAGTAATGTGATTTCTGTTGTTACCTATCCTCATACCAACATCAATAAGCCATTTTGCAAAACTTTTGAGCTCTAGAAATAGCTTATTTTAATAAGTCATTTAGACTTAATCCTGGGGATAGTTAGTCTCAAATATATAAAAGTGATGTGCTGAAGGATCTGAATTGAAGATTCTATGCACACTCATTCTATTTTTGCTAGAAGACCCCAGTACTATGAATGCAAATGGAGAATGGTGATGGAAAATGATCAGTGAAGTAAAAAAAATTAGCATGTACATGGAACAAATCTTACAAAGTTAAGTCACTTACCAATAGCAAATATCATTTTAACTAATTTTTACATTTACTGTCTAGAAAATACAAGTACATGAGGAAATGTTTATCACCCAATGTCAAGGTGAATATATCAAAATTTCATAACTGAATTTAATGAAATTCAACTTTCAAATTTCTCCTAGTTTTGAATGTTTGTATACCAAATGTTCACATACTGTGCTGTTCCCGAGAGAATTCTAGGTATGATACAAAACTAACTCTCAGTTTATTACAGAAATGCCCAATATGCCGAAAGATAATATTTCATTTAGTAATTTATACGATATCATTTAAAAGAATAGTTAAGAATTCTACCTCATTTCTCAGATCCAATTACTTCCATAAATAAATAGTGAAATTCAAAGTACTGTGAGAGAACACTGGGGTGGCATACTGGTTGCAAAAGCATAGAGATTTACATCGGGACATGAATTTAATTCATGTTTAGGCACGAGTATTTACCTTTGTTGCTTGGTCGACTTTCTACCTACCGTGTCACCTTTCTAATTATCCATTCTTCCTGGTTCATCTGAATGGAGTTGGAGCAGGTATGTGAGGCCAGCACACATAGCACTTGAACCCTGCCATTCCTTTATTTACGTTGCATTGAGGCATGATAAGAAAAAACGCACCGTCAAGCGTTGCCCTTGAAGCTTGGACAGGTCCTTCCCCTCCAGATAGATTATTATTAAGCGTGTACAATCCCTTTTGGGCGAAGTCAGGGCTAGCTTCTGAGTAACCATCAGAGCACCCACTTCTGGTGTTATGAGTTGGAAGTATCTGTTAATTTTAATAAAAATGTTTGAACTTGTGTTAGCAATAAGTTAACACCAATATTTTTTTACCAAAAGACTAATCATTATAACTATACAAGCCTACATTATTATTTTTTTAGCGTTTTTTAGTTGAACATAGTTCATTTGCATGTATTCAGTCTTTTTTCAATTGAACTTCACTTTCCAATTATTACTCAGTTTCATCTCTCACAAAATGTTGCTCTTTTTCTTCCCCCATAATCTAGCATGTACTAGAGATGTTCACTGTGTCTCGCTGTGCCATTGTGCCTTCAGTCTTCCCATACTCCTTCCAGTTTGTGGATCCCACATGGGGGGGTCTATGAGCCCATCTATTACTGCTCATTATAGCTGTCTCAATCCTGGAAACATATACTCCTTATCTCCTTTTCAATTTCTTCACCATTGATTGAGTATCAGTTATTCCAGTCATTTTTGTTATTGTTTTATTTCTAATATTTTGTTGGATCTGTACATGTAGGATTTTTATTTCCATCCTTCTTTCTTTGTTTCTCTGTAAGGGCCCAGGTGTGAGCTCTGTCCAGCAATACTGGTAGTTATCCAATATTGTTTTCAACACAATTATCCACTATTGTTTACATCATTTCAATTTTTTGAGTTTTGTCTAGAAGTATGTAGGATAATGTCCAAAATTTATTCTATGTCAAAGTAATTAGTCTTTCAATTTCTTTGTCAGATCTGTTGTGATACAGACAGATACCCATTGTTATTGGCTAGCTTAACTGAAATGACCCCTATGGTACCCTCACAACTGTAATCACTCCCCTCAAACTTGGAAAGAAAGAAAAGAGAAACAAAAAAGAAAGAAATGGACAGGTCTGTAGGCTACCTCCAAAAGCTAATGAAAAGGTGGCGGGTTCCTAAACCAATATCAAGTAAAATCTAAAGAAAGAGAGACATTGTCCCAGCGACCTACTGAGACTTGCTAGGTGTTCTCGAGGGCAGGGCACTAGAGCCCGAGTAAGCTGTGAGATATCTTTTATTTATTTATCTTTTTCTAAAGGCAATCGCCATTTTACAATCAAATACAGAAACAAGTAATAAAGAACAATCATAGGGCTTATACATAATATAAACCATAATACTATAAAATATAAAGAAGAAAATAAAATAAAAAGCAATAAGTCTACCAACCAAATTCATTCAAAATACATTTCTTCTCTTCCCTGATAAATTGATAACATGTCAAAGCATTAAAATCAAGTTTGTATTTATTTACAATAATGTATGCCTCATTGGCAATACAGGTTGTTTTTTAATTCCAAAAATAGAAAATATGCTCAATCTAACACTAAATTTTGGAGCACTTCGTGAACTTTGCTTAACAAATTACGACGAGTGATCTCCATCAATAATTTATATAAAAAAAACAAGTAAACTTGATATTCTCCTTGTAACTGAAGTGAACTAATATTTAATATTTTGGTAATCTTGTAATAGTATTATGATATTCTAAGTGAAAGAAAACCCAGCTTCCACGCAATGTGCACAAAAAATGTAAATTGAGTTGTCTATCAGATTATCATGTTCCAAAAATGTGAGTACATTCTTACTTACCTACTCTGCTCTGCAGAAATCTTTAATACAGTATTTGAAGCAAATATATTTTTAAACAAAATGTCTCTGCAGCTATAGCTGATTGACAAATTATATCTTATTTCCTCTTCATTCATTACTAATGATCTTGCTCCTTAAAGTATATATTATCCTTCACTTCTTCACTTCAATATAATTTTCATTCTGTTTTATGTGAATACACCTCACAATTTTTGCTGCACAAGATTTTGCTACCTTAGTTTTTTCTGTATATTATAGGTTGTATATCATCCCTCACCTCTTCAATCTTCGGTACAATGAACAGTTGTTGTTCATCTTCAGCAATTACACCAAATCATTAGGAAATTTTATAGCTTTTATTTATTTACCATAAGTTACTGGCAGTAACAAGTGTGTGCTTAAATATCTAATATATAATAATTAAATTATTTTACAATTGTAATTTTTTTTTAAATTTGTTAACAATTTTGCAAAGTTTCTCAAGAAGACAAGTTATCACATTTATGATGATAAAAGAAAAAGAAACAAGGTGGCAAGAAAAATATTTTGACTTAGGCATGAGCAATTTCTTAGCAAGATATACTCATAGGTTGTCTTGAGGCATTATCTGAGATCAAAAAAGCGATTTTCTGTGGTAGGTGATTTCAAGTTTTTACCTCTCTGTTGTCCAGGAAATACTATCATTTGTTCAGATTGACTCTTCAGTGTCTGCAATTTCCCCATTAAATGGCTTCTCAGATGAACATTGTTTAAAAACCGAGCCTCTTTTGCAAGCTCATTGAGCTTCAGAATTAAGCAATTATTTTGAAGTATCTTATAAATTACTATTATATCTACTCTTTGCTGAGGTGTAGTAAAAATAAACTCTTTAATATAATTAGTGAACCAGATATTGAATCATATTTATCATTTCTCCTTGCATTAGTTCTCCTCCTTGGATTCTTTGATTTTCATAATGCTTCTTGTAGAGGTGTTAAAACAAATAAGGTGAAACAATTGGGTGTGTCCTCACCATAAAATTCCTGCCTCTTTGCTCTCAAACCAATTCTGTACTTTAAGAATAAACAGTTTATGTTCAATCT